AAATGCAGCTTGATTTGTTCTTAAATTTTCTAAGAACTAAGCACAGCTGATCTACTTTCTCACTTAATCTGTTGTTTTTGTGTTTTAATGTAAAAACTTTTTTTTTTTTTTTTTTTTTCCTGTTTAGTTGGCTGGAATTTATTTTCTCAAGCTAAATTTTTTCGTGTATTGTAGTGCAGAAACATAGCCAAACTAGTTTCTCTCTCCTTTTTCATGCATTCAAATTCTCTTTGTATCTTGTTTTCTGATTCTTTGTTTGGTTTCTAAGAAAATGCCTAGAATTCGTTTAACTGGAACGGAGCTTAATTTTTGAGCATGCAAATAATTCTACTTTCGTTCTTTTTCAATATTAAGACTGAGTTTAATGTTTTGCAGGTTGAGTTCTGCATTTGCTTGCTGCTAACAATTCTTGGATATATTCCTGGTATAATCTATGCTTTGTATGCCATTGTGTTTGTGGATCGTGATGAGTACTTCGATGAATACAGGCGTCCCCTTTACTATCGCGAGCCATAGTACTTCTCCGGGGTATTTTCCTTTGTGTTTTTCCTCATCCAACTGCTTTGTAATGTCATGAAGTTAAACTCTTTACTTTGTATTGATCTGATGTAAGATGTTTAAAGGTTCTTCTTATTGATGATGGATGCTGAAGTTCAAATTTGTTAATAGCTGAAATTGGTTATATATTGTCTTAGTTTTGATTATCTTTGGCATTATAGAGTTGATTGGCAGAAGTATGTTAGTTGTGTGGTGTGGTCACAGTCTTGATCATATAAATTTCAAAATTTTGAATCTTAAAACTAAGAAATTATGTCTTGTGCAGTAGATATCTTTTGGATTCGTTCTGACTGGCTAAATAATGGATTTAAATGTCTTGGGTTTGTGGAAATGGATGAATCTATGTGATTGTTGATTGCTTGTGTAATAGTATTTTTGGAAAATGTTGATTGGTATCTATATATGTTAATTGAGGTGTTTTGCTTCAAATATGACAGCAATTGCCTTATGGCCCACTGGATTTGAGTTCACGCAACATTAAGTTGCATGTCATTCACATTAGGCTCACTTGTTTTTGGTCCAATTTGTTGTTTGCTAGTTCACATTGTGCTTGTCTAGGATTATTGTAAAATATCTCATTTAAGGAGGGAGTTATTAAATATATATAAATAAGGAATGTGGCTGATGCAAGTTGATGAGGAAGGCAGTAGATTTAGTTTAATGAAAATGGTTAGAAGTTCGTGTATCTTGAGTTTATATAAGGTAACTTTCTAGCCATTTTGTACAAGTCAAGATGAGTAATTAATAGAAGTCCCCTTTTAAACATTTCTTCCTCCTTATCCTTGTTAGAATATTCTGAAGTTAGAAAATGGTATTAGAATTATAAAGATATTGAACATGGCAAGTGAGTCACTTTTTTGCTCAAACAAAGTAACTATGATAATTAGAATATTGAAATGAAAGCATTGCTCAGTTCGCAAGATACATGGGAGATTGTTGAGGAACCACAAGATTAGAATATTCTTATCCCAAGTACAAATGAATATTTTGAAGGCTGCAAATAGGAGAAAAAAAAAATAATCTTCATGTTTGTCATCCTTTAATGATAATGGGTATGAGAATGTAATGGGTATGAGAATGTTGTGAATGTAACCATTGTCTAAAGAAAGGTCCAAGAGTTTGAATCTCTTATGAGTTGTTCAATAGGCATGGCCTACAAACCTTTATTTTCTTTGATAGTTACATCAATATGCTCTAATATTGGGTTCAAGATGTAGAGAATTCTTTCTATTATGTAAGTACTATTAAACTTTTTACCAATTCTTTTTAATTGAATAGGGACTTCTAAAACGCTATTAAAATCAGTGAAAATAGATTCAGAGTCTTTCATATGGAGAGATTATACACACCTCTTAAAGTTGGAAGAAGCACATTTACTTTTTATTCTCTTTGATAGGATGCTTAGAGCAACTCATACTTTTATGACAATGGTTGCAGTACCCTTCTCAAACCCATCATCATAAAGGGCATTAATATCATTTTTTTGATCTTCTTTTTGCTGCCTTCAAAGTTATCCTTTGTACTTAGAATAGAACGATTCCATTGTCTGTATTTGGGATAGAACGATTCCATCTTTTGTATTTGGGATAGAGTGACTGTATAGTTCTTTATGATTTATCCTTAAAAGTGTTCAACAAACTAAGCTATGTCTTCATCTTCTTAATCCATTCATGATACTTGTTTTGTTTGAGTATGTGAACTTAAAAGGAAATTATCTTACTATATCTTCAAGATCTTTGTAACACTAATATAAATTTGTTAGGGAAAAACAAGAATTATTTTGGAAGAATAAGAATTGAGAAGTGTTTGAAAGAGGAAATCTATAGATCTCCCGTCTTGGTTTGTTCTAAATGGTTAGAGGTTACCTCGTTATATAAGACTCAATGAGTCTTACCCAAACTAACTTGTAACTCCATCATTAAACTAAACCCATCATTTTTCTATCTACCATATTCCTTATTAATTTACATTCTCTTCATAAATGTGATTCTTTACTTTAGATAATTCTAGACAACGAAATATGAGTTAGTGACAATAAATTAGACTAGTAACTTATATTGGACTTAGGTTTCCCTCTTGTGAAGGATGGTCCAAGCAAAATTGAGAAAGACCCTTTTTTTTGTTTAGTAAAGCCCGTGTAGATTGTTTTAGAGTTAGGTTTTGTATTAACAAAATAGAGAATAGAAAAAGGGGAAGAAGGGAGTGGCCGAAGGTGAGAAGAGAAAAAGAGAAAAGAGAAAAAAGGGTTCACAATAGATTCATGAAGCCTCAAACAATGACACCTCTCGTGGTTCGATCGAGCTGCAATTTTACTGGTACGTTCCTGACTCAAGCCTCTTCATTCTGAATGGTGGAGATTGAATTTGGACCAGGTTTGTTACAGTAAATCGTGCATAAACAACTCCATTTTGTGAGATTTCTTCATTATTTTAATGTATGAGTGTTTGATTCCAAGAAATATTGTTCTTGAGATAGTTGTGAAAGTTTTGCTTCTATTTTAGCTAGGGAAGAACACTTGTATAAGCTTGTTGATCAGTGTAATTGAAATTGTATATAAAGAGTATAATTTTGCATTATATATCTATTCAGTTGTTTCCTAATATATTCACACGAAGAAGGAAAATTAGTGGTTTTTACCCATCAAAGTAGTATCAGAGCAAAAATAGGTAAATGAAAATTTTCACATAAAGGAGGTCTTCCATTTTTCCTTGCCAAGTGTGGTAATTGGATTCATTCAAAGTAATCATTCTACTCAAATTTGCTTCCATCATCCAACACAAGAAAACAACAATTGCTAGTTTGATTCAACTTATTGTATGTATTTATGAACAATACCCATATATGTGAATAGTATCGTATACCCAGAGAAAGCTCACAGCTCTGATACCACTTTGATGGGTAAAAATCACTAATTCTCCTTTTTGTGTAAATCTATTAGGAAACAACTGAATAGAGTACAATGTATAATGCATAATTATACTCCTTATATATAGTTTCAATTACATCAATCAACAAGCTTATAGAAGTGTTCTTTCCTAGCTAAACTAGCTCAAGAACAGTACTTTTTGAAATCCAACACTCATACAGCAAAATAATGTAGAAATCTCACAAAATGACGTTATTGTTTATGTGCGATTTATTGAAATAAACCTGTTCCGAATTCAATTTCCACTGTTCAGAATGAAGAGGCTTGAGTCAGGAACATATTGGTAAAATTGCATCTCAATTGGACCATGGGAGACTATTCATCAGAGGCTTGATCAAATCTATTGCGAACACCTTTTTTCTCTTTTTCTTCTTTTCCCCTTCGGTCGCTCCCCTCTTCACCTCTTTTTATTCGTTATTTTGTTGATACAAAACCTAACTCTAAAACAATCTCCATAGGCTTCAACAAAAAGATAGGCTTTCTCAATTCTGCTTGAGCCATCCTCAACATGAGGAAAACTCGAGCCCAACAACATAGAAGTCAATGTGAGTGATGTACAATTCAGTTTTGCTTGGCTCAAAATGGAGAAGAAACAAAATAATATTCAAAGTGTTATGTTCACTGTAACACCCTTGCTTATAGCCAGCCCAACACTGTCAAGATATTGTCCACTTTGTTAGGTGGCTAGATTCCAAAGCCTAGCCTATCACAGTTTTTTTTTTAGGCCCAAGAACCCTTGCTTAAGTCCTAAACGTGTCTTAACATTTGGGAGATTTCTTTGGTATTTAATCAACTCAATGCTCTCCTTTCCAAGCGATGTGGGATGTCTCACTTGGTGTTAACAATTGGTATTAGAGCCAAGAGGTCTTACCCTAGCCCAAGAGAGATTGCAATGAGGACGTTGGATCCGAAAGGAAGGGGGGCCGGGGGGGGAATGAGACATCCCAGATTGTTGGGCTTAAGCAAAGGTTTTTGGGCTTGAAAACAAAACCGTGAGGCTTGGGCTTCGGAGTTAGATCACCTAGGCTACCAAAATGAACAATATCTTGACAGTGTTGGGTCGGGGTGTTACATTCACTCTTAACATAAATTACAGTAGAACTGCTTGGTGCATCTGATTCGTTTAGCCTAGTGTCATTTCAATCTTTGAGGAAGGCACCTTTTATCTGTACCTCTCAAAATCCAATGGTTGCTGTTTCCTCGTAATGTTCTCCTTGTAGATTTCACATCAAGACTTAAAAAAACTCATTTCAGTTTGCTTTATGCATAATACCCTGTTTTCTCATACATTTCTAAGCTAGGCAGCAATTTGAGATTCCATTAGAACCTAGGTGGAATGCACTGTTCAATATCACTTCTAATTAGAAAAGATTAAAAATTATACCTTTCTCAAGTTCATCTTGATGGTTAGTAATTTTAATGTTGAATACCATTATCTGTTTTATATGTCTAAATCTTCTATCCATTGACATGTTCTCAATTATTTCAGAAGGAAGATTTCTGTGCTTTTGTTTATACTGGTTAGTCAAGAGTTAATTCATAATAGCAATATTTCGTTTGTTCATATAATCAATACCATATACAGTCCCTTTTGTTGTAGTGGAAGGATAATCTATATACACTATTATGAGAATAGTGCTGCTATATATACAAATATGTGATCCCAACTTCAGATTTCAATTGATTTTATTGTGATGTGTCAGTATCACTTTACTAATAAGAATGTAATATCGTTTATTACATTCTCCTACAATGAATGTAGTATTGTCATGTCATTGAGATTCAAAGCTGGGATCCTAACTTTGTAAATGTTGCATTACCCTGAGTTGCATGTTTTAAGTCTTAAGTTGGTTCATGTTAAAGGTGTTACAGGGACAGGAGGTTAGTAGGCAAAAATAACATGCCAGGCTGCCAGTATTGTGAAAATTGTGCGATAGTTTTTGACTTTTTTTGAGGTCTGGTGAGCATGTTTTAATCAATAAGATTGTAGGCAAAGTAGCTTGCCATGATTGTGAAAACTATGTCATGATCAATGACTTCAATAAATTCTGGTGATATATAGGACTTGCATGAAAATATAGTTTTCCTTGATAATATCATGGTATCGTTTGGTCAAACAGAGTCTTTACCTTTTGTTGGCTGCAGATTACAATTGAAAATCTGATTGAAGGTGAACTCTTCATTGAATGGTTAGCCAGCTTTAGAATTTCTATTGTATGAAGATCACTGAATTGTAGTGAGAATCACCTTCCTGTAGATGGCACCCTCTTCCTCGCCTTTTCACCTACTGTATACACCATGAGTCTTCTTATAGCTGAAAATTGAATCTGGGAAAAGTTCTTGGATCTTTCTTAGTGCTTCTGATTCAGACATCTTGACATACTATAAATTAGTTAATCAAGGATGTCGAGGACCGTGAACCATCAGATCAGATAGAATTAGGCTCTAAAGATGTTCATGTTTTGAGCACAGATGCACCGGTGACATTTGAGATATTGCCATAACATCAGCCACACACAAGAGCCAAATAGGCCCCCAAAAGAAAACTTAGAAAATTTTTTCGCAAAAGGGAGGGACTAAAATCTTGTACTACACTTAACCTCATTGTGGTGTGTAGTACATCAAAAAAAGCTAAACCCACTATGTTTCTATAAAAACATCAATTGATATCATATTTTAATCACCTTGATATTGTAGGCATTGTCGCGTAGTACATGTGGCTCCATCTTATGGCATCTTGATGAATAGATTGCCAGAAACTTATAGCTTAGCATCAAGTGATAGTGTCACTCACTATGAAGCCACAAATCTTCTTCCCTTTTTTCCTTTTTCCTCTCTCAAGTGGAGCACCAGGTAGTACAAATTACACATACAAAGTTTTAGTACTACATCATTACACAAAATCTCTACTCTTTCTCTTATAATTGCACTCTCTGTTTCATTTTTCCTTTCTATCTTTTACTCTCAAGATGCCACCCTTGACATTTTTCTGGGGTTCGAAGACAGAAATTATATTCCCAGGCTGGCCGGGTGAGAGCTTTGGTGGTTACATATCAGCCTTGGTTTTAGTGTTTGTAATATCTCTGCTAGTCGAGTGGCTCTCGCATGCCCGGCTGGTGAAGTCAAGCACCAGCAGTGTTGTCACGGCTGGGCTTTTGCAGACGCTCATGTATGCCATCAGGGTTGCTCTGGCTTACCTGTTAATGCTTGCTGTTATGTCTTTCAATATCGGTGTGTTGGTGGCTGCTGTTGGCGGATATTCTGTAGGATTCTTGGTTTTTGGTAGTCAAGTTTTCAGGAAGTTCAGGATTGAACCTTACCAGGATTTGTCTGATCTTCCTCCCTTGAATTGCTAATCTATGTATATAATATACAGAATTTAGTTTACAGTTTCATATGTAATATACTGGTGTGAATTGTGATTGTTCTATAAAGAAATTTTGTCCCAATTTCACCTTTGGTGAATTAAAATACCCACAAATCTATGAACAATGGAATGTATCTAAGTAGTATATAATATTAAACATCTTGAGACAACTCACGAACTCCGTAAATTAAAAATTAAATTATGGGTTCGGATCTTCTTGACTCTCATGATGCAAGTGAATGACCATAATGATAAGATACTATATTAATCATTTATAGAGATTAGTCTAAGTGGGTCCAATTAAAATACAAAAAAAATATAATTACATTGGAGTCTCATGAGGATTTCCCCTGTTGAGAAACTTATTGTCAAGTCAAATATAGAGATTTCTCATCCAAAATCGATTGAAAAATTAAATAATAATAAAATATTAGTATAAGAGGACACGTGTGCATCCAAGTGGCAATTATATAATATCCTTTATTATATGTATTAACAGTTTCATCCTCATTTCATCAATTTTATCATCATCAAAGCAAAACAAAATGAGCAACCAAGAAGAAAACGAGACAGACTCAGCACCGAGTTCCAACTGGGCCGAGTTGACTCATGTGTGTCTATTGAACATCCTCTCCCGACTCACTCTAACCCAGCGATGGACCGGCCCCATGTTCGTCTGCAGGTCGTGGTTCTCCGCCTGCAAGGACCCGGTTTTCCACTCGGCGTTCGATCTCGAGACCCACTTCGAGTCACTCGCCGAGTCGCCTCGCTGGTGGACCCCCGAGTTCGAGAGGCGAATCGACTCCATGCTGCGGTCTGTTATCGAATGGAGTGAGGGGTCTCTCGTGGAAATCAAAACCAGACACTGCTCTGATCGCGCCCTCAGTTTCGCCGCTGAAAGGTACGCGTATTTGATCACAAATTTTTGATAAAAGTCTCGTTTTTTTAAATGTTTGTAAAATTCGAATATAACTGAGTTAAAAAAATTGTGGGAAATGAATTTGCAGTGATTTTTAGGATTGCAACTTGTTTTCAGGGAAAAAAAAAAAAAAGGATTGCATTTGAATCAGTTGGTAGTGTTACTGGGATGAACCTTTTCGTATGGTATTGTGGTGATAAATAAGAGATAGATAAAAGAATAATAGTAGGAATCCGAAGTACAATCCCAAATTTTATTTATTTAATTATGGTTTGTCTTTAGTGATAGTGATGTGTAAATGTTCGGTGTACCTAGAATGATAATCACTTGCGAATCCGGATTGAGAATTCGGGATATCAATTGAGAGATGTAGCATTATTCGAAGTTTTGTATAAGATTAAGTAATTATTCATGATTGTAACATTGTGTATGATATCGATATGATAAGGGTATCTTATTGATAGGATATTTTAATAACATGTAATGATATTTTGATGATATAAATCTTTGAGTAATTTAATTGGTAACATATTGAATGTTACCAAATTTGCATTATGTGTTACCAAAACATCATTACATGTTATTAAAATCTGTATTAGTAACGTTTATTGGTCCTGCTAGCGTAGTAAGACCTGTGGTGAATCATGTATGGTAGAAGGGAATGGTTAGGAAATGATAATGGTAATGTAATCCATTGGATATTTTAGTAACGTGTAAAGATGTTTTGGTAATATAGATGTTATAATAACTCTAAAAAGTATTTGGTAAACATTGAATGTTATTGTACTTGTCTTGCTAAAAGTATCATTTTTTTACCAAAACATCGTTACATGTTATTAGAGTATCTCATTGGTGATGTTATTGGTGCTAGCTATGGTAAGGCTTATACTAGATTGGCTTGTTGTACTTGTAACACATAGTAATATTCAGTGGTAGATGGTAACGAGATTAAAATTTTAACGTAACATTATTTAAGTAACAAATGTTGTTATTCTTGATTGTTAACTTTAATCGGTTCAGTAACATTACTTGCTAAAACCATAGAATCATCCTTGAAAATTTTTCTGCTCTTATCATGTTTTTGGGTTTTACCTTTAGCTAATATTATCGATTTTTCTTCTGCAGTTTTGGTTAACATCATGTAGACTCTGTTTTAAATTTTTGAACATGGTGTACTTTAAATTAGTGGGTCTATTTGATATTAAATATACTGCCAATTATATTATTCTGTGTAATTTGTTAGTCATGGTTTACAATTTGAAGTTGTAAACTTGCTTTATTGAATTTTCAGGTGCCCAAACCTTGAGGTTCTTTCAATTAAGAGCTGTCCCAATGTAACTGATAATTCCTTGACTAGGATAGCCTTTCGATGCTCCAAGCTTAGGGAGCTGGACATTAGCTATTGCTATGAAGTATCTCATCAATCTCTGGCAATTATTGGCAGGAATTGCCAGAATCTTAAAGTTCTTAAGCGAAACCTTATGAATTGGGATGCTTCCCAACATGAGGGAATTGTCCCTAAAGAGTATCTAAACGCTTGTCCTCAAGATGGAGACTCAGAAGCTTCTGCGATTGCTAGATTTATGCCTAATCTCGAGCACCTCGAACTTCGGTTCTCCAAGTTATCAGCTAGAGGCCTTTGTTTAATTTGTGAAGGGTGTTTGAATATGGAGTGTTTGGATTTATCTGGGTGCATAAATTTCACCAGTCGGGATATTGTCAATACCACATCCAATTTGAAGAATTTGAAGCAGATTATAAAGCCAAATTTCTACATTCCCAGGTCAGTTTTTCACACAGATAGGTATGGTCATTGGAGGTTGTATGATGAGCGGTTCCAAACTGATATTTTCCGAATTTGATTGGCCATGCTATTCTCCTGGCAAAACTTCTTGCATCTACTGGTCTTTATAGTTCGCGACAAGAGGGTTCTATAGCAAATTATGGCTTTTATTTATTTTCCTTGTAAAATGCCATGTCCAATGCATTTATGCAACTGCTGGTTGAGCTGCTATGATATTTGATTTCTGCAGTAGTATATGTTGTGTCACATTTCTGTAATGTAAATCGATTCTATTTGATTGTATGTTGGGTTTACTAGATATGTACTTCTCGGATATCTTGTGAAATCTCTCTTTATTGAAAAAAATGGATTAATTATCTTCTTCTTGTCTGTTAGATTTTTTTAGCTTTCTTCTGTTTCTTTTAACTAAGAATTCAGTTTGGACTTGGTATCCCAGTTACTGTTCACAGAAAAAAACAGAGCAATTGGAAATTGAATCCAGTTCTTCCTTTCAACGTCACTCTAACCAAACGCTCCATCTTATTTGTGTGTTAATCACAGCCCACCAAGGGGTCTGTAATTTTCTTCCATCCATGATTCTCCTGTTGTAGCCTCAACATTCATCTTCTCTCTAACTCATGTGACCAGTCGTCCATGTCCTTCGTTGTCTAGGGTTTGGATTCCCGTTGGGCTCTTTCCTGTTATCATCTCCAAGACAACGACCCCATAGCTGTAAACATTAACTTTTGAGGTGATAGAGGGAGGTTGTAAACCCATTCAGGTGTCATGTAACCTCTAGTTGCTTTTATTCTTGAGAAGCTTGAATTGTTTAGGCCACTTCTATTCAACAGCTTAGACAAGCCAAAATCTGCCACCTTTTGTTGGAAATTGGAGTCCAAGAGTATGTTCTGTGGCTTTACATCACAGTGTAGAATCCACTCTAAGCACCTTTCATGTAAATAAGCCAAACCCTTAGCCTGTGCTTTCCCTCTTCCCAATATCCTCACATCTCTACCAAATTCGTGAGGTAAAGCTTCCCAATGGTTCTAGCTTCTCCTTGAAATTCTACTTCTCCTTGGTTGGCTTCATTGAGTTGCCAAATTGCTGCGACTCGTCCATCACATAAAATGTCTTTGTACACAATGCTTGCCGCACCTCTTCCAATCTCTTCAGTAAAACCCCGGGAGGCTTTTTTTCAGCTCAATGTAACTAAATTTTCTGAGTCCAGTCGCGATGAGATTGTACCCGGCCATAGTTGCATCGGGCTCTCCATTTTTCCTATATAGGAAATACCCCGCCAAAAGGATCATACAGATCATCTCTACTCCTCCAGCACCACACACAAACCACAGCAGAAACAAAGTTAATTCAGTTTCCTTCTTCGGTTTTTCATGTATTCTATCTCCGCCCATATAATTCAACATCGACATTGTTTGGGACTTTCCCTTGCCATAAAACAAAATCCTGGGCAATTTTAGGTACAAGATTTCATCAACATCAGGTGAATAATGGCCATTAAACAAGAGCAGTTTAGGGTAGCAGTTATAGACGCCACTGCAAAAACGGAAAAAGAAGCCCTTGCAATGGCAAGATCGCAAGCATTCGTTTTCAAAATCATTTATTGTGGAATTTGAAATATAGCGTATATCGTGGCCATAGGCATAAACATGTGGGAGTTGGAGGAAACTAACCTCAGTGTGGTTGCAATAGAGTTTTTATTCAGGTTCGCAACCATAAGACCAGTCAGTGGGATTTTTTATCTTGAAACCAGGTAAGCAAGAGCACATCCTACGAGTTTTTGGAACATAACTGCATACACTGTTAGGTCCGCAGAAGCCATGAATTGAGCATGTTTGGAAAATCGTCTAATACTGCGGTTCTTCTGTTGTCATATGTTCTCCTGCCTGTATCCCAGATTAGCATGTCTGGGTTTGGCCAATAGACACTGGATGTCTCAGGACCACATAAAGAAGTCGGAGAACATTGTTGTTATCGAAATAAAACTTGTAAAAACCTGAAGAAATGTTGTCTTCGCTTCTCGATGATACAAGTTGTGTGTCTTTGGTGAGTGGCTGTTCAGGAAGAAGAGCGTCTGTTGGCGAATTAAAGCTTTGCCAGAGGGTAGCATTCTCCTAATTACGGAGTACAAGGTTGCCAGAGTCTAATAGGACTAATTGAACCAGAGAATCCGATTGAGTTTTCGCGTTCCAAACCAGGATTCCACCAGCGTCAGTCAAGAATTTATCCCCGTTTCTCAAAAGTGAAAGCTGCCCACATATGGCGGTGCACATGCAAGGCACGTGAACTCCGACAATCAAGTAACCAAGTTATACATTGCAACTGATGGACGGTCGAGATTGAACCCTCCACTCCCAGTTGGATACTTCGGAAAAGCACTCTTCACGGCTTCACCAGTCGCCTTCTCCGGAGACCTCAAGTCAGAGCCGTTTGTGAACACGGTGGAGAGGATTCGGAGAGCTTTGAAGAAGATAAAGGATGAGCATTTGAGGTCTACAATTGATTATTTAGTGGTCCAGCCTAAGCTGAGTTCGAATGTAACATGTTTTTACTGGACAACGATTGAATGAAGTAAGAAAGTCTGGAATCTATTCCACATAATTTTGTTGTAATTAAACATATGAGAAATTTAAAGAAAAATTTTGACGTGAAGCTTTACAAAATTTATTCACATGATAAAAGAAAGATAAATTTACTATCATTTCAACATTCTAAAAATGTGTTGTGTAATAAAATAAAACTACCACTTTGGCTTGTGGTCATATGGTAAGATCTTAGTCTTACTGTGATCATATGGTAAGATCTTAGTCTTACTAAGTGGTCACTTACTATATTTGTGATTTACCTGTTTCATTGAACTTGTAGGTGTTTAATGGACCCCGATAATTAGTTGAGATACATGTAAGTTGACCTAATATCCCGAGCTTTTAGGGTGTTCAATGGACCCTGGGAATTAGTTAATGTGAGCGTAAACTGGCCTGGATATCCTAGGTTTGTAGGATGTTCCATGGACTCCAAAAATCAGTTGAGATACACACAAGCTGACTTGGACATCATGAGCTTGTAAGATGTTCATTAGACCTCGAAATTAGTTGAAGTGAGCGTAAATTGGTCGAACACCCCATCACAAAAAAAAAAATAAAAAATAAAAAATTGTCCCTGTTGGTGTTCAATGGACCCCGAGAATCAGTTGAGGTACTTGTAAGTTGACCGTGACATCTCAAGCTTGTAGGGTGTTCAATGGACCTTGAAAATTAGTTAAGGTGTGCACAAGTTGACCTAAATATTCTGGGCTTGTATGATATTTAATGGACCCCGAAAATTAGTTGAGGTCAGCTGGCCTGGACATCTTGGACTTGTAAGGTGTTAAATAGATCTCAAAATTGGTTGAGATACTACAAACCATTAAAATAGCAAGTAATAAAAAAAAAAAAAAAAAAAAAAATAGTTGAAACTACGGTGCTCCAATCAAAGCCACTAGATTGTGCTGTAGGCCTACATAATGAGCTTTGGTCCCGACAAATGAAAGTTTATGGCATATTGTAAAGTATTAATTAGAATGAGATAATCCCGCTTTACTATTTAATATTCCCTTCTCTTTTGATACTCTATTGTATTGTAAAATGATTCATTCTTGAAATTTGGCATCAACGATTTGAGAATACAAATTTTTTTAATGTAAAAATCAAGAACGATGGTCTAATGAATTGAATAATGCAGAGTTTTTAAAGATACAATAAAGTTATTTATCTTTTTTATTGAACACAAATCATACTTTTATTTTCGTTCAGGTAAAGCTTATAGCAGAAGAAAAACATGATCTGAAAACCAATGACTTATCGAAAGAAAATAATTAGATTAATAGTACCAAGTGCACGTAAAATCTTTTCCTTATTAACAAAAAGGTAAAATTAAGAACACACATGCATTAATTGCAAACCTTTGAAAAACATTCATTTAGCTAAGGAAAGATTAAAATTGACAGAAACAGATTATTTAATTACAAAGTTTCACTTTCTTGCCCTCAAATTAACCCTAAGAGACATATAAACATAAGTATGCAAATTAATTCGAATCTATAAACTGGTATAAACGTATCATCTTTCGACATTCTTTTCTTTATCGTGCGACACGCCCATCAATCTTAACCATTCAAATGAACAGAAAAAAGAGTAACTCAATCACCAAAGTCCAAAGCACCAAAGAGGAAGATTCAGGAACTAAGGAGGAGGATGCTCCACCCTTCTTGCGCTTTGGACGAAGCGTATCTCCACCACCATAAACTCCCTTGTTCGCTTTCTTCATCTGATGAAAAACTTCCTTTCCTTTTCCAACATTCCCCAAATGAAGAGCTTCATACACTCCTTTTGGCTTTGATTTCATAACTTTGCTCCCAAACCCATCTGCACAAATAAGAATATGTTGTTATTGCTTCATTGTAGATTAAGAAAAATATAATACAAAAGTAAGAGATAGTTCTCTTGTTGAGCTGTTTTTCTTCGGCTAAGTGATTGGATATACCAGTTGCTTTTGAGGTCAGAGTGCTTTCAGAAGAAGAATATGGAAGCGCTTTACAGCAAATTAAGAAGATGAAAAGCAATACAGATAAAACCCTCTTCATGCTGGCGACTTCCTAGAGGCTTAATTAAGTAGCTAGTTGAGTGTTCTAGGGTTTTTATTTGTTAATTAATTAGATAGCTTTCATGTTTATTTATAGGGTGTCTTTTAATTATGATCAGGGTTTTCATTGGTGGTATGAGAATATAATATAAGTAATTAATATTATATTAATTATAGAATCAAATGCCATCATGTTTGTCTTTGAACAAGAATCCAAAGAGAAACTAAAGTCCAATGTCGGGCAATTATGCAATCTTTTTCCTTCCTTTTCTCTCTTATTTTCCTTTGTCATTCATCAATCTTTTCCAAATTCAGCATGGAGCTAGCTAGCAATTAAGAAAAAGTTTATACCTTTTGGAGGTGACAATATAATCAAAGTTCTTTCGGTGAAAAATTCTAGAAATAATTAATTGAAAAAAAAGAAAAATAGACAAGACAAAGAATATTATGAAGAGAAAGGGACACTTCTTTAATTCTTTTTTCACAGAATCTATTCACTTTATGATTTTTGTTTATCGACCTTTCCGCTCCATTAATGGTTAAAAGTTGAAAGGAGATCTAGTGGCTCTCTTTTTCTTGAATTACGTTAAAAGGTCTAGCTTTTGAGTAACTTCTCCAATACTTTATTAATGAATCTTACAATTAATAATAATGTAAATGTCTTGAAACGAATTAATTAAATTATTTATGTTTCAAAGTTTGAAAACATTTTATTTGTTCTTCACATGTACACTCAGAGGATTGATTTGATTTTTCAATTGTTTTTTTATAAGGTTTCAAAATTAATCTACACATCATCAGGTGATGTGTTTTTCTGTTTTTGCCGCCTTCTATTATTAGAGTACATAGGATAGATCATTAATTATGTTATTAGTCTGTTAATAATTAAGAACCTTTGAAGCACAAGATAGATATCTTGTGAAAATTACGTATAACAATTGTAAGTTTTAAAATGTTACCAAATAATTAAAACTTATGGGGAATGGGTTGCTTGTTCATATTATGCACAAGTTTGGTTCAAAGCATAAATGAAACATCCATCAAAACAAGTAAAGAACACACTCATTTTTACATGGTTTGACAATACAAAGCAAAAACATGTCCAAGTCTAGAAAAAGCAAATCCACTATGTAAACTTATGAATTCAAATACAAAGCAAGAAAAACGTAGTTGCAAAACACTCCCTATTATCAACACATCAATCTTCTCTTCTTCAATTAAACTTCAAGCCATCATAACAAGCTTCACACACGAGATTACCAAGTCGTAGTTGAGCTCCTTTAAAGTTTTAACAGCGAAGGATCAACTTCAGAGCAGTAGCTTGCACACATCCAAGCATCAACATGGAACCATGTTCCAAAATCGTCACAACAAAGACAATGTAAAAGAAGGTAATTTTAAGCTTACCAAAGCATTTGAGAAACCTTAGACGAATACAAAAACCTCAGATGATATTCGATGATGAATAAGAGGCAATAAGGTTTCTTAAAGAAGACGTTAGAAAAGTATAAATATATAGAGAACAAGGCACCAAGGGTTAGGGGACAAAAAATTTAAAGTAAAACTTTTGTGTTTTTCTTTTTGCAAAAGAAACTTTAGGACCACAACCAAAAGCAAAACAATTTTTCTTACACAACGAATTAAAAGAGGTCAAATGGAAATGTACCACAACAAAATATCAAGAATTAAATATTTTTGTCCCAAATCAAAAGAGCTGCGAATTGTGCATTTGTGAAAAAAATCTGGTAGATGCATTATAACCACACAAACTCTGAAGTGCTCACCTGATATAGCAGATAAACATGACTAGTGCTACACTACTAGAATCATAAGTTTACAAAATAACTTACAATAATTTTAAACAATTCTTCTTTATTCGTCATAATTAGGAAGCTTCAATGTTATAAAGCTAGACGGTTTATGTTGTTTTGAAAGGAATCTATTACAAATTTTATTTTGATTTAATACTTTTGTACAGTGAATGACCTCTCTCAAACCTATATAGAAAGCTACACCTAGTTCCATGGTTCGCTCTTGGTTTTTTTTTTTGTTTAATCTGTAAGATAAAATAGTGGAAATTCAACACTTAAATAATCACTGGATCACACGAAGACATTAGAAAAATGAATCAAGAAATTTAGGGTTTTAGGAATACCTATTTGAGCCATGATGTGTGCGAAAGTTGTTAAATCTCTGGCTGGTCTTCCGTTCTTGATATGGCACTCAATGACAACTTTCAAATGGGTAAAGAATACGTTCCTTAGTTTTGAAGAGAGGACCTAACCAATATATAATCTTTTACTGGTCCCTCCCATCTCGGCAGCCAGCACATGGCAGTGGTGGTCAGTGGCTAGTTTTGGCTATGTTCTTGGGTAATTTGGTGGAAGTATAAGGGTAATAATGTTTTAAAAATCTTATGTATAAGGATAAAATAGCCCATGAATATTGTTGTAAATTTTGTTAGAACAAGAGAATTACTGTCCAAAATTTTTATTAATTAGGGGTAAAATTGTAACAAAATTAAGATTACCAAGTAATCTTAGAATCTCTAAGAAAATAATGGTATTCAGATTACCATCTGTATAATCTATAGTAATTACTATTGATGATTACTGAAATTTTTTATTATTTAACAACAAAACATGATAATGTTATGAATATAAGATGATATTACTAGAGTAACGAGGGATTATCCCCAATCAAACACACCCTAATTAGAATGAGATAATCCTGCTTTACTATTTGATATTCCCGTCTTTTGATACTCTATTATACTGTAAAATGATTCATTCTTGAAATTTGGCATCAACAATTTGAGAATACAATTTTCTTTTATGTAAAAATCAAGAACAACGATGGTCTCATGAATTGAATTCTACTGAGTTTTTAAAGATATAATGTACCCATATATTAGGAGTATTTCTGGTTAAAATTTATATATTTTCTTTTATCTTTTTTATTAAACATAAATCATCCTTATTGAAGGAAGTGAGCTGGGTATTGATATCTGCGAGCTCGAGCTCACGACCTGAGAAGAAAGTGAATTAGTTACAAGTAGAGCTGTAATTAATTGATAGTTAGTTAATTTTTTTTTTTTTTTTAAATAATAAGACTAATTAAGAATATTACCAAGTGCATGTAAAATCTTTTCCTTCTCATTAACAAAAAGGCAAAATTAAGAATACACACACATATACACGCAACACAAGTTCACAAATTGATTCGAATCTCCAAACTGGTGTGAACGTATCATCTTCTGACATTCTTTTCTTTATCGCGTGACACATCCATCAATCTTAACTATTCAAATGAACAGAAAAAAGAGTAACTCAATCACCAAAGTCCAAAGCACCAAAGAAGAAGATTTAAGAACTAAGGGGGAGGATGCTCCACCCTTCTTGCTCCTTGGACGAAGCATATCTCCACCACCATAAACTCCCTTGTCCGATTTCTTCATCTGATGAAAAGCTTCCTTTCCTTTNATAATTAGACTAATTAAGAATATTACCAAGTGCATGTAAAATCTTTTCCTTCTCATTAACAAAAAGGCAAAATTAAGAATACACACACATATACACACAACACAAGTTCGCAACTTGATTCGAATCTCCAGACTGGTGTGAACATATCATCTTCCGACGTTCTTTTCTTTATCGCGTGACACGTCCATCAATCTTAACCATTCAAATGAACAGAAAAAAGAGTAACTCAAACACCAAAGTCCAAAGCACCAAAGAAGAAGATTTAAGAACTAAGGAGGAGGATGCTCCACCCTTCTTGCTCCTTGGACGAAGCATATCTCCACCACCATAAACTCCCTTGTCCGATTTCTTCATCTGATGAAAAGCTTCCTTTCCTTTTCCAATATTCCCCAAATGAAGAGCTTCATGCACTTCTTTTGGCTTTGATTTCATAGCTTTGCTCCCAAACCCATCTGCACAAATAAGAATATGTTATTATTGCTTCATTGTAGATTAAGAAAAATATAACACAAAAGTAAGTATAGCTAGGAGATAGCTCTCTTGTTGAGCTATTTTTCTTCGGCTAAGTGTTTGGATATACCAGCTGCTTTTGAGGTCAAAGTGCTTTCAGAAGAAGAATATGGAAGCGTTTTACAGCAAATTAAGAAGAAGAAAAGCCATACAGATAAAACTCTCTTCATGCTAACGACTTCCTTGAAGCTTAATTAAGTAGCTAGTTGAGTGTTCTAGGGTTTGTGTTTGTTAATAAATTAGCTAGCTTTCATGTTCATTTATAGGGTTTCTTTAATTTTGATCAAGGTTTTCATTGGTGGTATGAGAATATAAGATAATTAATTAATAATCTTGTGATTAAATTAAATTAAATTAATTATAGCATCAAATGCCATCATGTTTGTCTTTGAACAAAAATCCAAAGAGAAATTAAAGTCCAATGTCGGGCAATTATGCAATCTTTTTCCTTTCTTTTCTCTCGTATTTTCCTTCGTCATTAACATGGAGCTAGCTAGCAATTAGGAAAAAGTTTATACCTTTTGGAGTTTACAATAAGCAAAGTTCTTTCGGTGACAAATGCTAGAAATAATTAATTAAAAAATATATATATAAATAGACAAGATAAAGAATATTATGAATAGATACTTTTTTTTTATTATTATTATTTTTGTTTCAGAGAATCTATTCGCTTAGCCTTTTGCTTTTATAAATTTTGCTTATCCACTTTTCCTCCAGTAATGGTTAAAAAATTGAACGGAGATCTAGACTCTAGTGGCTCTCCTTTTCTTGGATTATTTTAAAAGGTCTAGCTTTTGAGTAACTTCTCCAATATTGTACTAATGAATCTTACAATTAATAGTGTACATGTCTTGCGGTTGTGTGGTCAACGAATTTATCAAACTATTTTATGTTTCAAAGTTTGAAGGCATTGATTTTGTTCTTCACATGTACACTCAGAGGAATGAATTGATTTTTCTGTTTTTGCCCTCTTCTTTTAGTAGAGTACATAGGATTAATCATTAATTATGCAATTAGTCTGATAATAATTAAGATGCTTTGAAACACAAGATTG